GAAATCATCTTCTTACTCAGAGTAGTCGGAGCTGTTGAAACTCGATGCAGAGTCACAGTCGCTATCCTTGTCGTGCTCGGCACCATCTTCTCCCGTGCGGCCGCTACAAAGACTTCTGTCGACACACTGGCGGGAATTTGCGAAGGCCATTTTGTGTTGTTGTAGGACGGTTTAATTTCCCCGTGCAGTCACGAAACGCGTCTTTAAAAAGCTTAACTTTTTAGATAAACAGCGCATTTTCTATCGCCATATTGTAAGCGTTTGCGAGCTGTGATCACATGACGCGAATGCGCCCACTCTGATTGGCTGACCGTGCAGTTGCCCCGGACAACGCAGAAGCTTTCTGAGCCAGCATGAGGCTCTTCTCCCCCATTAAATAATGAAGTAACGTTAACCACACGGACAACAACACATACTTGTTCATATTATATTCACAAACATGTTAATGTTAAAAAATGTTACAAAGACATTCCTACATTGAATTAAGAGGGATATCAACCATTCGAGCCATCTCCACACTCCCGCAACAATTAATTAACAGATATATGCTGGAAGTGAGGATGCAAAAACAATAAACTGTGCTTTCGAGCTTTCAATATGTTACCCTACATCTCCACCTCCCTGCGCGAGGTTTTAAAATCCCCAAGCACATAACTTTAGGTTTGTAAAAATACAAATAAAATAAAGTACAACAAGGTGTAAATGTTTTACTGACCTGTAAAGGAGAACACTGCGAATGGAGTCGAAGTCCTCCAAATTTTTAGAGAATGAACTTCCATCTATAGAAATGTTAAACATCATTTGTGTGTCATGTTTTCGCCGGGACGAGGGCGGCCAGCAACTTTAAACTTTCCAATTTATGAAGATGCCATTTAAACCAGAGGGAAAGTTGTTTAAAAAACAAGACAAAATCCAAATGAATGAATTCCCTCTGCCCCGAGCAGGCTGCAGGCTGAACTGCGTCTCCGAGACCAGATCGGATCCTCCCCCAGTTTCTCGGTCACTGACCGGTCCAACACCAGCGCTATTCACGGGGAGCAGAGTGTTTCTCCAGGACAGCACAGAGGAATTTGTCCCAGCTGTCTTTTTGGCAGGTGGAGTAAACACCCGCCTTCACTGGGTTACTAACAAAAAGCTCAGCAGACAAGCCCACATTTCTACTTGGGGGGAAAAAAGAGCGTCGTATTCAAGTCTGGGAAATAACGTATAATAGTCCTTTTGGAGAGTTACTCTGTATCATCAGTTTACTAATACCGATTTATTAACTTGTGAGAAACATTTTAATGTTCTAGCTGGTCGAAGGCTTATTCATTTGAGCCACTTTGGGTAGTTTATTTTCTATTAAAATGCAGCATATGTTATAACTATATAATTTGTTTTATTTGTAGGTAAAATCATAATCCACAAAGTATCTGGTAACTATAATAACAAACGAATAAATGGAGTGGTATAAACCAAAGACGATTTAAATAACACACCGTTTCTCCCTGAAATGTAGTAGAGTATAAGTTATCAATGCTATGAATGAGAAATAATTAAGTACATACATATCAATAATAAAATATAATTTAGTAAAGGTATTGAAATTATGTTGTCATCAGTCCTTTATAAAAGCACCATGTTTACAGTTAACTTTATATGTATGTCATGCTCACTTCAGATATATAATATTTAAAACTCTAATTTTTCTTACTTTCAACAGCATTGCACTACCACTCTGATCATACTCCTTCCCTCATCGTCCCCGAGGAGACAGTGAACGGTCATCAAAAGTAGAGAGCATATGAAACAAATCAAGTCTCTCTACCCGCTTCGCGCTCAGGAAGGAGTATCACCTACTCTTCATCGTGGTTAGCGAGACCAAACATTTTAGAAACACATTTCTCAAGTTAGAAACTATAGAAATGATCCCTGAAAGTATAGTCTTGCTGTTAAACTTCGCTTGCCCCACTACTAGTATGAGGATCATGGGCTTCACTGTCATGGTGCTGACACGAAACACCGTAAATCAAACGTTTATAAGGACAAAACGACCACAAAGAACATCTAAAACGTCAGCTAACGGAATAAACAGAATAAAAACCACAATATGTACATGTATCCGCATCTGTTAACAAGATATAAAAACATTTTAAAAGCACCTTAAAGACAATATTTTCTTCCGGAAATCCATTTTAACATCGTTCTGCTGAGAATACAAAACACAGGCTATACATAACAGCTATTCTCATGAAAGTCTCTTTATCAACTGTTACATTATCTAAAATGATATTTATTTAAAATACCCAGGATGCTGTCTGGCGGCTTAATCCCTCCTCTGAGTCTCTTATTGGTTGCTGCGATGCTTGCATGGCCGCGTGTTAGCTTCAAATGCTAACAACAACACGGGTATAACCATCGTTTTAGAGCCGATATTGTCATCAAGCAATCAAGACATGTATGTTGACTGAATGCTGGTTTTACATACTGGTAAATAACGCGAGAAAGAAATGATGTCACTGAAGAAAAGACGAGATATTCAAATTTAACGTTAAGTGAAGCTCGATAGCAACAGACCGAATGTGCACCAGATTTTGTCTTCCGACTACAAACGAGATTAACTGCTACTTCCTGTTCATGATCAAATATCGCGGCAAGACAACCTACCTCGGCATGATGATACACTTGATAGTTGACAGTTTAATAGTGATAATGACTAGGCTTGTCTAAGAAAACACATATATTACAACTATTAACATATTTTACAATGTTCTCACTACAACAAAACATTTGAAGCTATGACGAATTGATTCCTTGCTTCATTTTAAGTTTCAGGTGTTTTGGTAATAAACTGCTGGAAACAGAGACACAAAGCCAATTCATTATGGATTCTTCTACTCTAATGTCAATCCCACATGGAGAAATCATAGCATAGTGTTAGAGAAACAGAAGTCGTTTTTAATCTTACTGTTGTAACGTTATTACACTATCACGCCATTTTGAAATAGTGATTAACACTTTACACTTGTTAAAGCACTTTTACACTTGTTAAGTTAAAGCACTTTGTAACTTGTTTTTGAAAAGTGCTCTACAAATAAAGATTATTATTAAATAATGTCGATTTAGTTAGTAACCTCAAAAAACAACTGTATTTTGAAAGTTTATTTAAATTACCCTGACTAGATTTTGTCTGATTTACGGTAGGAAACCAACTTTTTTTCTATTCAGTTGTTGGCTGAAGCACAGGCTGGATCCCAAAAAACAAAACAAAAACAGTGTGAGATGGTTTTTGTTGTGAATTGACACTGTATAAATAAAACTGAATTGAATAATTCTCCACCTACAATACAGTGATTAATCCACATAATAATGATGATTGTTATTATAAAGCGCTCTAATTAGCTGATGCTAGCTTGTACCAACACTTCCCACCTCGATTCTCACACCTTAACACTTGCCTTAAAAATGGCCCAATAATGATTTTAGCAGCATTTTGCGAGCATTTCCTTAAATACTTACCGTGTATCATGTCTTAGACATCCAAGCAGACTGTAAATTGTACAAGTTACTGGGATGTAACTAAGTTAATCATTGGTTCACGTAACACTAAGTTAACGGTTCACGTTTTAGCCCATTAGGTTTCTACCGCTAGCTTCACGTTACATTGTCAGTCCAAACCGACCGTGACACATTTTTTTGAGCCTGGCTGAATGTGAAGGTTTATCTTTGTAGAATTAACACGTTTCTAACACCCACAATTTTTAAAATATTGGTAAAATATTGTTCTTGATAATACAAAGTATGGGCAAGTAAGGGGATAACTTTAAGCTAGCTAGCTAACGCTGTGCTAATAAGACAATGCGTTCAACGTTACCGTTAATTAGCTCGACAACGGAACGAACCTTCAACCAGTATTTTGTTGTCTAACTAATTTACTTACCAAACGCTCAACATTTACATAAGTTATGTTTTTTTCTAGACATATACGATATAAATTAATAAATAAAGGGATTACTCACCAATCCTAACTGCGGTAAAACGTCCCTTACGTAAATCAAATAGCGCCCCTCTGCGGATGTTTAATTAAGTTTATAAAGTTTTAAAGTTTTACTTAATAGTTAATAGAATAAAAGTTTGAAGTTTTATTTTATTTTATTGTGTGCTACTTTTATCTCATAATCGATCATTTGCTGAAAGGGTTGAAAATGCAGTTTAGAGTTTAATAAATCAGGATTGGCAAGTAATAATATAATAAAATGTTGTACTTATTCAACATGCTTATGCTAAAATCATATATGACTTTTGTATTTGTAATATTTAATGCAATGACTTAGGAACATACCTGCTGTGTGTTAAGATATTTGCCTTATACCATTTAACAAGTGTTAGCAGCTTTCATTGAAAACCAAATTATCTTATTTCCAAAAACTGTGAATTAGGAATACTGCGAAATATGCACGTTCTTTTGTTTCTAATCAACAATAGGTTACTAACTAACATCGTAAAATGCAGGAACCACCATTGATGAATGATCACAAAGAAATTTCTTTAATCATGTTATTGAATGATCATATATCTTATAGGTACATTCCAGTTTTTCTTTCTTAAGGAACAAAGACTGTCTCTTTGGAAAATATTATATACAGGTCCCTAACAGCAGCAGCAGCCTATATAGCCTGTTGTCATTTGTATTTTCAGAAATGCAATCAAAATTCCGTGGCGGCATTGAGGAAAGTAAAACATCTCTGGGATATTTGACCGATGTAGTTTGATGTTTAAAATAATACAACAAAGTTTATGCTTGTGGATTACTGGAGATGGATGTTAAGTGACTGCCGCTTCTGTCGTGTTAGCGGAAATTAAACTACTGTTGCCTATGAGTAGATAGTGTGTTTGTATTGTTGGATTATTTAAATATATTATTATTTATAAACATTATACTAACAACACAAAACACCGAATTTGCGATTTATTGTAGATTATTTATGGCCGGCTGAAAAGGTTTGTCCATGAAGCCCAATTTCTCTCTCCACCTTGTTTACTCTGACGTCATTCACATGCGCCGCTCACATGTTCGCAACCTGGAAGCGACTTCTTCAAGTGAGGTGTGTTTTCTCCTTCTCTCTCTCTGCATTTACATCATTCATAGGTTGTTTTAATGTGCTTTAATGAATTTCAGAAAAACTATTATTTTAAGAACAGTTATTGCAACTTTTAAAAAATGATATATGTTATTAAACGACTTCTCACACAGAATTAGGCGCTCTCTCTTTTGATTTACTCAAATCCAGCATTCTTTGTTGACATTTCTGGACATTTACGGAATCAAACAATGTCTTTTTTAGGTGATGCTGGAGTCAGAAGATACAGAGTAGAGCAGCAGACTGAAATGGCCCATATTCACTCAGATGTGTGTGAAATGCAGCTGAATGGAGTTTCTGAGGGGATAGATCTGCTTCAGATAGACGTGGAGACTGATGTGGTGGAAGACAGGCCAGGTAGAGAAGATGCATTTTCAGTAAGTTTGTTTACTTAGCCTTCAGTTTGGACAACTTTTAAACCTCTTTAAATGTGCATTTTCAGGTTAGCAACCTTACCTTATTATTATTACCACTAATAATAATAATAATACAATTTATTTATAGAGCACTTTACATGGTGCTCAAAGACTTTTCACAAAGGTTAAAATACATTTAAATATGTGTGTGTGTGTGTGTGTGTATGTGTATATGTATATGTATATATGTATGTATATATGTATATATATATATATATATATATATACACACAACACACAATAGTCAGTCATACATTAAAAGCTGTTTTTATTTCAACTATAAAAATAAATCTAAATTAAAAATTGTTTCTTGGGACCACAGTATAAAAATCTATATGATCTTATTTGATTTCTGAAGTAGTCTCGTGCAGTCAGAAACACCCAAAATTTTAATTTTACATAGTTAGCATATTTGTTTTTTCACTCAGGTGTGACCACCTCAAATCTCTAATTTAGGTATTTTTTATGTTTTTAGATGACTTCGGTTGATAAAACATGATTCTCCACGATTTCAGAAACTTTTGTGAACCATTTGGTGCATAAAATGTTTTTAAAAGCCCAATCTTCAAATAAGATCAAAAATCAGTTTTCAACAAGCTAAAAGCCAGCATTTAAACTCATGGTCTTATTACTTAATGAATGAATTAAACAATCTGTAATGTAGTATCCTATAAAAATCTGTAGATCTGTAGTTATTCTACACTGTTAATGGTGTCTGTTTCATGAACAGAGGAATGTGTTGAGGAAGCAGCGAAACTGGGAGAGGCAGCTGGCAGCGAAGAAAAGCAAGAGGAAAGAAGAGAAGCAGAGGAGGAAGCTCCACCGTGAGCAGGAGTCGGGTAAAGCTCACCTGAAGAGGATCAAATGCTCGTCTTGTGTTTGTAGGGAGTCTTAAAGTGAAAGTACGTTACGTTGCAGTCTATAACCAGAACACCTGTCATTCCTGTGTTTTTGTCATACAGGTGCTAGAGCAGATAATCCTCAGTTTACCAAACGGGTCATGAAAGCAATCACCAAAGAGCGTTTAGCTGAGGCTCAGTCCACAGGGCTCAAACTCTGTGTCGACCTGAGTATGACGGACAGCATGTCGGACAAGGTACCTGCCTGATGAACAAAACGGCATCATTAACTATCAAACAGCCTGTTGTTAAGAATTTAGATGGCAGCCGTATTTGTGTCACATAATGTTTTTCCAAAGAGCTTCACTTCCCTTCAACTGTGTATGTTTGTCTGGTTCAGGAGATAAGTCGACTGGCTGGCCAGCTGAGGAGGCTGTACGGGTCGAACAAGAAGGCGGTGCGACCGTTTCACATTTTCCTGACAGACCTGAGAGAAGACAGTCGTGTCTACAGAGAGTGCCTTCGAATGAACGATGGCTTCCTCAACTACATGGTGATTATTGTTGTTCACATCTTCAACTGAAAAGGAAGCATAAAGCAGAACAAATCTTGTTAGTAGCTTTGTTTTTCCTATTTAAAAGCTTTGAACTAAAGCAGCAGTTTTTTATTCAAAAACTGAAAACACAAGATGTACATAAGCTGTAACCCTCCAGCTGAAACAACTGAACCTGAAAAAAAGGTGTAAGCGAAATTTTTTTGAACTGTCAAATAAATATAATGTGTTGCATATGTTATAGGTTAATTATCTTGTGAACATGGTGAAACGTACAAATTATACTTTAAGGCTATTTCACTGCGTTTGTGCCATAAACAGAGATCACAGTTCATTCACTTCCTCTGTAATCTGGGACAGGAATAGTTTGAATATTTAGCTGCACATTTTATTTCTATTTTTTTAAATGTATTTATTTAATTATTTTCATTTTTCAGATGGACATAACAGAAGACAGCTGTCTGAACCTTTTTCCTCCTGAAACTATCGTCTACCTCACACCAGATGCTGAAGAAGGTTTGAAGGTTTTGTCTCATTTATGAAAAAAATATGTTAATGCAGAACAGATTTACTTTTAAGAAGGGTTAAATTTTATAGATATTTATAAAAAGTTTTTAGTTGAAATGCATCTTTAGGCCAGCAGGGGGCGCACTCTGATCACGTTCATGCGTCCTTAACTTATCATAGGTACAGTACTACAACTATAACTTTTAACTACTTCTACTGCTACTACTAATACTACAACAAGCATTTCACTATACACATATATATGTATATATATATATAATGTGTGTGTCCTTGTTTCTTTGCATATTTGACTGTCTTTGATATTATTTTGAATCTTCTTTTATTACAGCTTTAGAAACAGTAGATGCTGACAAAGTGTATGTCCTCGGGGGCCTTGTGGATGAAAGCATCCAGAAGGTATTTTACACTGAGACGGATTATAACTGCACAACATTGACATCACATGGCAGCAACCCAATCAACTTATTCAATATGACTGATTAGACGTCAGTTTTCCATTTGATTCAGTGTATAATTAACCTCCTTTTTTTATCCAGGTCGAGTAAAATCCAGTAGCTCCTCATATTAATGCAATGAGATTATGTTAATGCATTTTGCTGTCTGCAGAAGTTGAGTTTCTCGAGGGCCAGAGACCTGAGCGTTCAGACGGCGAGGCTGCCCATAGATGAGTACATGGTGAAGAAAGACAACATTAAGAACTTCCACTCAAAGATCCTGGCTGTTAATCAAGGCGAGTAATCACTTTTTTATACGCAGTACAACTGAAGCTATGTTGTATTTGTTGTTGATGAAGTCTCTCTCCGTCCACAGTGTTTGACATCCTGGTGACTTTCTGCAACACTGGCAGCTGGACAGAAGCTCTGCAGGCGTGGTTCCCCCAGGGCAAGGGTTATGTTGTTGCACAAGGCGACTCCCTACAGCTTCCTTTCTCTCCGACGCAAACGTAACACATGGATTGATATGGGTTAATTTTCATTTATACTTCAAATAGAACTCTTCGGGTCATCTCATTCCATGTTAACAACATGATACGTTGATACAATGTGATAAATTCCTGGTTATGGAGACATAGCACACTGTTGTTTAACATTTCTCTGTTTTGTTTACATTAAAACCCACAAAACGTCATATTTTGACTTTGAAGGAATTCAACAAAACAGGAACTTTCTCAGGGGTGTTTTTTGTGAGCTCATTTGTTTTTATTATAGTTCACAAATCCCTAAGGTTTTGTAAGTAAAATGACAAAGCCATAAATGTCTTTACGATATCAAATTACTTCTTTTGTTTTAGCTCGGTCTCCCTGCAGAGAATGTATTCTTGAGATTTTGTACATAAAATCTTAATACAAACATATCTTAGTGTTTGTGTTAAATTATATTGTACAGGCACATAGGAAGCATTTCATTTAAATCAAACCAGTGGTGTCTGAGATTTTAAATCTGATTTTCAGAACTGTTCCAGGTATTTTTTTCTCTTGTTTTATTATTGTTTTTTTTTTTTGATTGATCTCTTTTCTGAAAGCTAACACTACTGCCTGATTTCCAAAGGATTTGGGTTCATCTAACTGGCCAGAAAGGAGGGAGAATTGTTGGTCAAGGCAAAAGCCTACATCTTTATTAATTATTATTATTGTTTGAATGATCAAATTTCCAGTTAAGTTAAAAGGATTTCTGAGAGAGGCGGTCAAATGTCAAAGCACATCTGGGTTCCAGCTAGTTGGGAGTTTTTGTGTTTTCATTGAGCAGAATATCTTGTTGACTAAGTATCTGGGGGAGAGTTTTTTGTCCCACTTGGGATGTGTTTATCTGTGAGGCAGCCATTTTAAAGGGATAATCAAAAAGGTCAGATGCTTTCCACAGTATTCACATTTAGAGAATTGTATTATCTCCCAATTCTATCAATCCCAAAATACATTTACAGCAGCATACTTAACAAACAAACACAATAACACTCCACTCATTTCCTGCTGACTTTGGGACAGTCAACAGCAAGTGGTTTGTGAAGGATCTGGATCATAGCCCCAGCAAAATCTTGGATCCAGCTCCCACTTTTCAGTTCATCATGTTTTATAAGCCTCACTGCACAGAAATCATTATAAAAGGCATCACAAAGGTATAGTCTCCCACGATGTAGAGAGGAAAGTTGACACTCTACCTTCAACGTTTGTGCTCTTTGGCAGTTAGAGTTTTCACCGACAATCAGACTGAAGTACTTGTACCGCCCTTATTGTTTGTTATTATGTATTTACAACTGATGGATTTTCATGTGATACCTGATATCTCTAGCCTGTAATATTGCTTCACTCGAGACTTTGGCAGTCTGTGAAGGTTTTTATGTGACCTGACATTACCAATTACATTATAACTCCAAATGACGAAGCTCCACTTGCCTGAACATGTAGCTTATGACAAAGTTTACAGGAATTAACGTCACATCAGTGTGTTTGCCCCCCCACAGCTGTGGGAAAATGTCAAATCATGCAAACGAGAAGCTTAATTATATACTATGCATTACAATGCTCTAGTCTACATTTTAGTTTTTATCAGAGATATTCTTTCTTATAAACTGAAACAAGATATTGTCAAGCCCTCTCATACAATAATAGGCTGTTTTGCCAGTCCGATACGTAGACTGGGGTGTACTTGTGGGACTTGTCCCTCCCTTAATAGTGCCACTATCAACAGCATCACCGTGTCCAGATAAGCACTGCATACCCATTCAGCTACTCATCAATCTGACCTGGGGAGATTTTCACAACTTGCCAGACAGGGGCTATTGTTTTCTGTTGGAAGAACTTAACAGAGTCGTTCTGTTGCCTAAACTGAGAACTGGCAATTACAATGGTCGTTCTCTAGAAATCTCCCACCGTGCAGCTGGTCCATATCCAAGTTTGCCTGGATCTGAATCCACCCACTCCACCGAGTGGATGATATCAGGCAAGATATAAGCTATTAGGCTTAGAGAAACAGCACAGCATGATGCAGTATTTGCACCAGCCATGAAGCAGCACAAAAAGCAAGCACTAATCTCCAACAAAATCTAAACATGTCAGCAAAATCAGGCAGGCAAAACACTCTTATTCGGAAATGCTCCCTGTGGGATATGTAGCTGTGCAGATTATGGAACCAAAGCGGGTCACAGAGAGCTGTGAAGAAAGTAGAAGCACAAAAAGGACATATTAAAAACATTAATTAATGTGGAGCAGGATAAACGGTACGCTGCTGAAATGTTTCTAGGCTTCCAGTGGAAATTGACCCTGTTTTGTTGACGTCTGGACTGGGTCTGTGCTTGTACAGACGTGCTCAAATTTGTTGGTACCCCTCCACAAAAAACGAAGAATGCACAATTTTCTCTGAAATAACTTGAAACTGACAAAAGTAATTGGCATCCACCATTGTTTATTCCACATTTAATAGAAATCAGACTTTTCTTTTGATTGTTTATTCAACATAATATTGTAAATAATAAAACAAATGAAAATGGCATGGACAAAAATGATGGGACCGCTAACCTAATATTTTGTTACACAACCTTTAGAGGCAATCACTGCAATCAAATGTTTTCTGTAGCTCTCAATGACACCTCTGCACCTGTTAACAGGTAGTTTGGCCCACTCTTCCTGAGCAAACTGCTCCAGCTGTCTCAGGTTTGATGGGTGCCTTCTCCAGACTGCAAGTTTCAGCTCTTTCCATAGATGTTCGATAGGATTCAGATCAGGACTCATAGAAGGCCACTTCAGAATAGTCCAACGTTTTGTTCTTATCCATTCTTGGGTGCTTTTAGCTGTGTGTTTTGGGTCATTATCCTGTTGGAGGACCCATGACCTGCGACTGAGACAGAGCTTTCTGACACTGGGCAGTACGTTTCGCTCCAGAATGTCTTGATAGTCTTGAGATTTCATTGTGCCCTGCACAGATTCAAGGCACCCTGTGCCAGGCGCAGCAAAGCAGCCCCAAAACATAACCGAGCCTCCTCCATGTTTCACTGTAGGTATGGTGTTCTTTTCTTTGAAAGCTTGATTTTTTCGTCTGTGAACATAGAGCTGATGTTACTTGCCAAAAAGCTCCAGTTTTGACTCATCTGTCCAAAGGACATTCTCCCAGAAGGATTGTGGCTTGCCAATATGCATTTTAGCAAATTCCAGTCTGGCTTTTTTATGTTTTTCTTTCAGAAGTGGAGTCCTCCTGGGTCTTCTTCCATGGAGCCCACTTTCGCTCAAAAAGCGACGGATGGTGCGATCAGAAACTGACGTACCTTCACCTTGGAGTTCAGCTTGTATCTCTTTGGCAGTTATCCTTGGTTCTTTTTCTACCATTCGCACTATCCTTCTGTTCAATCTGGGGTCGATTTTCCTCTTGCGGCCGCGCCCAGGGAGGTTGGCTACAGTTCCATGGACCTTAAACTTCTTAATAATATTTGCAACTGTTGTCACAGGAACATCAAGCTGCTTGGAGATGGTCTTGTAGCCTTTACCTTTACCATGCTTGTCTATTATTTTCTTTCTGATCTCCTCAGACAACTCTCTCCTTTGCTTTCTCTGGTCCATGTTCAGTGTGGTGCACACAATGATACCAAACAGCACAGTGACTACTTTTCTCCATTTAAATAGGCTGAATGACTGATTACAAGATTGGAGACATGTGTGATACTAATTAAAGAAACTAATTAGTTTGAAATATCACTATAATCCAATTATTTATTATCTTTTCTAAGGGGTACCAACAAATGTGTCCAGGCCATTTTAGAATATCTTTGTAGAATAAGCAATAATTCATTTCTTTTCACAGCTTCTTTGCTTTATTCTATGACATACCAAAGGCATGCAAGTATACATGATAAAATAGCTTTTAATTTCATCACTTCTCAGGAGGAATGAAGCATTATTTCAATGAGCTGTAAGGGTACCAACAAATTTGAGCACGTCTGTACTGGCTGAGGCTGGATTTGGATCAACTGTATCAACTGATGATGCAGCATCTACTCTACTGACAAACTTCAGCATAGCCCCTGTAAATTAAAAATAACAATACTTGCTAGATATTAATGTCATCAGCTGCATTGGGCCCATTCAGACTAGCTCCCCAGGTTTACTTCAAAGGGAAAATACTATTTATACCATAGTATAATTGTATAGTTTTGTAATTTAAATAGTAAATATATATGATTCTTGACCTGTAGTACTTTCGGTCTCTTTCTTTATGTATTCTACATAATGTTTATTGTTCTGCACCTCAATACCAAAGAAAATGCCTTGCATGTGTAAACCTACTACAGTCCCTGACAAAAGTCTTGTCGCTTATCTATTTTGTAGAAACACCTGCTATTAACCTGACTTTTAATTAATCAATTGGTGTTAGAAATAGCTCATATGAAAAGCTAAAACCCTCCCAAATGATGATTAATGCAATGAAATAAATTAGTTTCACTGAAAAAAGATTTATCATTTAAACAAGACAGAAAGGTCAAATTTTGGCAAGACAAAAGTTTTGTTGCCAGAAATTGAACGAATTTACTGCAAATACAAAAATGTCAGCAAATTAAGTAGTGGTGCTGTGAGATCCAAATTTAATATCTTGTATGACTACCATGAGCTTGAAGGACTGCATCCATGCGGTTTGGCAAGGATGCATACAATTTATTGATGAAGTCATCAGGAATAGTAAAGAAAGCAGTCTTGCATGCCTCCCAGAGTTCATCAATATTCTTTGGTTTCGTCTTCTATGCTTCCTCTTTCATCCTACCCCACATATGCTCAGTGATGCTCATGTCTGGTGACTGGACTGGCCAATCCTGCAGCATCTTGATCTACTTCGCCTTGAGGGACTTTGATGTGGAGATGGAAGTATGCGATGGAGCACCATCCTGCTGCAGAATTTGGCCTCTTTTATGGTTGGGAATATAAGAGGTAGCTAAGATTTCTTGGTATTTTAGACTATTGATGTTGCCTTCCACCCTGCAGATCTCTCGCACACCCCCATACTGGATGTAACCCCAGACCATGATTTTTCCGCCACCAAACTTCACTGTTTTCTGGGTGAATCTCGGATCCATGCGGGCTCCAGTAGGTCTCCTGCAATATTTGAGGCGACTGTGGTGTAATTCAACAGAAGATTCATCTGAAAAATCCACCTTCTTCCACTTTTCCAGTGTCAATCCTTTTAGCTGGCTGTGGGCCATGGCAAATGCCACACGGTTTTTCAATTGTCTTTTGTTTAGTGCTGGCTTCTGGGCACTGATTCGACCATGGAGGCCATTTCGAGACAGAATCCGACAAACTGTTCTGGTTGACAGAGGGACTTCAGGTGACCAGGTCTCGTGGAGCTCTGCTGCAGTGGAAAATGGGCTGGCCTTGGATTTTCGAGCCAACAAACGGTCCTCTCGAGCAGTTGTCTTGCGGGGTCTGCCTGACCTGGGCTTGTCAAAAATGTCTCCAGTGTCTTCAGATGTTTTTTTTATCCTCTGTACTTGACGCTGAGACACATTGAAGGTGTCTGCCACATCAGCAGTGGATCTGGTCTTCAGCCTCTTGATAATCAAAACTTTAGTCTCAGGGTGAATCTTAGGCATGTTTGCAGAGGTCTAGTTGCTGTTGATGTGAAGGTCTAGTGTACTGGGGTTGTTTTTATACACACCTGAGACCTAATTGATCCATTATTAGTCACAGGTGAAGCTCATATGACAAGGCGACAACACTTATGTCTTTGCAAAAATTGACTCAATGGGCTTTACCAAGCTGTGAATCTTAGAATACTTTTTGACAGTTTCGTTTTGCACTGAAACATTATTACAAAAGCTGTTGGGATTAAAATGAGCCATTTCTTGTAAAAAGAAATCTTGTTTGATTAGAAATATATTTCAGCAGCACTTCAGGTCAATTTGTACACAAGCGACAAGACTTTTGTCAGAGACTGTAAGCAATTAAGATGATTTGGATTCTGATAAAGCTGAAGTTTATTACAGCTTACCTGCACAATGGTTCAACTGGATTCATATCCAGAGCAAAGGCAGGTGTTGATTGTATGCAAGAAGTGACACATTTTACTTTTCAAACATATATTTATTATCATTAAAGCCTTAACAAAGTAATCAATCATATATTGTTGAACAAGAATCACCAACTGGAGAATTACATGGAAATGATATGCTACACATTATAATACTACTCAAGTCATGCTACATATCTGCTTTCAAAAGGTCATACAGCCAAACTTTCTTCACAGAGAAATTATGCTTTTTAAATCACACTTTACTTTTAACAAGAAAAATTAAATACCTTATGCACACAAAGTCTTTTACATACAGCTGATTGGTAACTTTCCATTTCCTACCGAACATAATCACATACTTATCTGCATTTGTATGCTCTTTCTTACACTTACAACAATATAAATCCAGAATCAGTCTTTTTTTTTTTTTAAATGTGTCAAATATTTTGTGAAAAACATTGGAAATACAATGTAAAAGACACAATGAAGCTGAAATAACACTAACTACATAAAGAAGTTATTAAAAGTTACACAGACTGGGTTAAATATTAATTTAATCACTTTTTATTTACTAAAGTAAAACAGCTTGGCTCGTAGTTGCAGAAATTAGTTACTCTTAACAGCTTTAATTGCAACATCTTTCTTAGCATGCACCATGATTTTATGCTTCATTCTTGGGAAGTGCTCCTTCCTGCTGATGTAACTGTTTCTCAAGGACAAAGTGGATCAGCTTTTTCACCCAGGAGGACCGAGGGTTCAGGCAGACCTTCACCCCACTGGCCAGCCCGGCTCTGTTCAAAAAGATTAAAGGTGAAGCCAGGATTTTAGAAACATTCATGAGGTTTCACATGCACCAAAGTCTTTGACTAGCAACCAAACCTTCTTTATCATTTGCTTGAGATTATCTCCCACACAATTATCTAAATCCATTTTCAAAGGCAAGACAAGGACAATTTCATTTGCATAGCCCCGTTCAACAACAGGGCAATTCTAATTCTAATATAAAAAGACACATGAATAGAATTTTAAATATGAGTAAAATGCAATAGAAGCCAAACATAAGATAAAATTGATTTAAAATAATAAAAGGAAGTGGCAAGTAGGAATGTTGTACCTGCTCACTTTAAAAGAATTTAGAGTTGGAGCAGAACTTAACTTTTCTGGGAGTTGGGTTCAGATTTATGGTGCACAGAAAAATGGGTCTAATTGACTTTGTAGCCTTGGGGAACTCCACGTGTCATTTTTTCTTCACTCAGGTGTGTAAATACCATTTAATATAAAGAAGTCCCCCATTCAACAAACCAATAAAGTTCCAACTGTTCCATTCTGTCTAGTAATTTGTTGAGGTCTACTGTGCCAAATCTAGTAAACTGTTTTAAGAAATCCTTCCACTTTTGGTCTTTAAAATTGATGTCACTGAACAGATGATACAGTTTTACCACTTTTAAGTGCGTGATTTAAACTAATCCTCAGTAAATCCCTCCAGATCTCAGTAAAAATATCAAGACCACATCCTTACGGTCCTCAGACCGACAGACCATGACCATAATAATTAAAACAAGATTATCATCAAAACAGTTTGACAGTTGTTAGTGTTTTAAATCACTTCATGAGGGTTTGTGCTGAACTTGGATATTCCTAAGAACCGATGCTTAATCAAACACATACTTTCGTAACAAGGGAGAGAATCCAAAAACTCCAAAGTCCAAATTGATATCATATGTTTTTTATATGCTCATAGAAACCAGAAAGCTGCCAAGTAGAGGAAAGACTCCAAGCAGTCAGTCTGGAGCTCAGCTCTGTATTGTCTTCACAATCTTTTATCTAACATAATAAAAAAAATGACCACATCCACCTCCATTTTTATCAGTTCATGTAAATGCGCATTTAAGATTAGATGATAATGGAGTCAACTGCGATATCATTCCTAGTATGTTTTATGTTATGTTTTTGCACCATCCAACAAAATTGTGAAAAAAGCACTTTCACAGTCAGGTTTAACTTATGAACATCCTTGATGTGCAATGTGTGCACCTGTGACACAAGAATTTCCAATGCAGTATTTGTAATTCTGATTCTGATTTCTGATTCTCTCTTTGGTTTTCAGAGTGAGGAAAGTTATCTTTACGGGGATTATTTTGGGTTGCATTTTTGCCTTTATTTGATGGTTGACAGTTTAGAGAAAGACAGGAGTTCAAGTTAGTAAAAAAAAGTTACTTTGCAACACTTCTGATAATGAATTCATCTGCGGTTTCAAGCTTCTCAAGTGTGAGGTTGATGTTTTATACAAGACTTGCAGCCCTGATTGTATAGCATGTTGAATTTCACCAGCAATCATCAATGTGAATTGAGTCTTTTTTGGAATGGGACAAAATTGTCTTTGTATGATGACTTTGTTAAACTTACATGACTTCTGTTTCCGGGCAGTGCGGCCCTTCAGGGAAGATTTTGATGCTCCTCAAATTGTCTGGAGGGATGATCCTCGACTCCACCTGCAGGCACCGGCAGTGTGTGTTGTAGTCCCTGCTGATTGGCGGCATACCTGTCATCAACAGACATTCAGTCAGAATATTGATTTTACCGGTTTAAGCGGACAGAAATCCCACTTAGGTTTCTCTTTCTTGGCAGACTTTGGGTGTTTCAAAGTTTGGAATATTTTGTAATGCAAGGAAGAAATTATCTTGTGTTTGTATTACATTATCAGCTTAGCAGTTAGAAATATTATGATTTACATAATATATAAAAAGATATCCGAAGCCTTGCAAATGCCAGTCAGTACTGTTTAATCACTTATTAAGAAGTGGAAAATTCTTGGATCTCTTGATACCAAGCCAAGGTCAGGCAGACCAAGAAAAATTCCAGCCAAAACTGCGAGAAGAATTGTTCGAGATACAAAGAAGAACCCACAGGTAATGTCAGGAGAAATACATGCTGCTCTGGAAAAAGATGGTGTGGTTGTTTCAAAGAGTACACTACGACGGTATTTGAACAAAAATGAGCTGCATGGTCGAGTTGCCAGAAAGAAGCCTTTACTGCGCCAATGCCACAAAAAAGCCCACTCGAGCCCAAAAAAGTTACAAATTGCCTGAAAACACCTTGACATGCCTCACAGCTTCTGGCACACTGTAATTTGGAGTGACGGGACCAAAATGGAGCTTTATGGTCACAACCATGAGCGCTATGTTTGGAGAGGGGTCAACAAGGCCTATAGTGAACAGAATACCATCCCCACTGTGAAGCATGGCGCTGGCTCACTGATGTTTTGGTGGGTGTGTGAGCTCTAAAGGCACAGGGAATCTTGTGAAAACTGATGGCAAGATGAATGCAGCATGTTATCAGAAAATACTGGCAGACAATTTGTATTCTCCTGCACAGAAGCTGCGTATGGGACGCTCTTGGACTTTCCAGCATGATAATGACCCTAAGCACAAGGCCAAGGTGAAGGTTCTGAAGTGGCCATCAAAGTCTCCTGACCTTAACCTCATTGAGCCATTCTGGGGAGATCTCAAAAGTGCAGTTCATGCAAGACGACCAAAGACTTTGCATGAACTGGAGGTATTTTGCCAAGATGAGTGGGCAGCTACACCACCTGCAAGAATTCGGGGCCTCATCGACAACTATTACAAAAGACTGCACGCTGTCATTGATGCTAAAGGTGGCAATACACAGTATTAAGAACTAAAGGTATGCAGACCTTTGAACAGGGGTCAGTTCATTTTTTTCTTTGTTGCCATTTATGATTATGCCATTCTGTTATGACCTACAGTTCAATGTGAATCCCATAAGAGATAAAAGACATGTGTTTTGCCTGCTCACTCGTGTTTTCTTTACACATGGTATATATATTACCAATTCTTCAAGGGTATGCAAACTTTTGAGCACAACTGTATCACAGTGAGAGAAGAAACTTGGATTGCTGAGGATCTATTTTACTTTGACCTGCAAAGGTTTGGCAATATCCATGTGAAATCACAAGGTCAGCGTAAACCATGCACTAATTACAGTGATTTTGCAACTTTCCCTTCCTTATTTTATTTTACTGAGAAGTTGGTATTGCCTTATCGTAACGTTGTAAGACCATGGTCATTGATCCATGAATAAAATGCAAACAAGAACACTTTGTAAAGCCATGCTTTCATCACAACCACCAGATGTGGAATTGCAACATTCTTACAATTTGCACGTTTTTCTTTGCCCCTTTTCTCTTCTAGTGATCTTCCTGCTAAAATATTATACAAATGCACCATTTAAATACATACTTTGTAGATGAGACATTTAGTATTATTGAGATGTTATCAGAGAAGACTTTCTATAGACATTGCGCAATGGATGCCTGCAATTTGTTTTGTTTTCCTTCAGGGGCGGAATGTAAACAAAGTAGCTACATTCACTACCGTACAATTTTGATGAACTTTTACTTTACTTGGAGTAGAGTTGACCCCAGAACGATTTGATAGGAGCCACCTTATTCAACTCCCAATCTCACAGTTGAATCTTCGTGGAGCCATCATGAAACAAGGATCAAACCATTTTGCTGATAATAGAATAGAATAGAATACCACTTTATTGTCCAGCCTGGAAAGGCTGGACAATTGTCTTTGGTCTCACCAGACCTATAAAAACATCACTAATACTTGCACACTTCATTCAAGTAAAATTTTGAATGCAGGACTTCTACTTGTAGTGGAGAAGTTTTACACTGTGATATTGCTAATTTCCCTTAACTAATTGATCTGAATACTTCCTCCACCTCTGGTTACTGGTGTGGTGACACAACACAGACTTTTCAGATCAACGCGGACAATACAATGCAACAATAACAGAAGTTTGATATGTCTCTACAAGGTGATTTTCATGTCACAGGGGGAAAAAACTGCTGCCTTAACTGTGGGAAAACACTTTCTGCTGCAGGCTTAGGAAAGTGATCAGCGAGTACATGTTTCATTAAATGGGCTTCAACCTGAAAAAACAGAGTTATTATTTTGCTTGGATTAAATATTAAATAAATATAATGTTTTTAATGCATCTCAGTGGGATATTTTTAATGCTCAAAAGTTCAAGGGATTAATCCTTGCTTTAAAATGTCCACATATAGCAGAATTTCCTTTACAGTTGCAAACGTGGTTCACCGACAACAACGTTCTTGCTCTTGCTTTTGGCAGCATGTTAAATGTCCTATTAAAGTACAAATGCTGTTCCCAGATTGTTGGTTTTATATTCTAGCAAAGAACAACTGCGCAGGAATCCCAGTGCCTAATGTTGTTTGAAAAACTAATGAGTTTATCAGTAGCAGCCTAAACAACCCACTTTTAACTGTCAGTTACAGACCTCAGGAATGTTTAGTTACACAGGAAATTCACCACTGTGTAGTTGTGCTCTTACCGTTAATGACGACAAACAGGGTCCCAAACACAAGCAGAATGCAGAGCTTCATCTTGTTTATGCAGATGCTTGTTAGGTTCTGTATGCTACCAGATTGATACCATTTAGCTGTTGAGACTGTTTAAATACATTTTGTCTTTCAATATTTGCACATACGGTGATCATGTGCTCCTCATGAATCTAGCTGTGGGAAATTTTAATTTGTATGTGTGTGTGTTGGTTTCACTTTGGTGCATTCACATGTGCAGCAGAAGATAGTCATGTGGAAGGTTCATGGTTAGGAGACGGCACGCTCACGGTCAGCGGCCAGAGAAATGAGTCACACAGATGGAGCATGTCTGCCTGGATGGTCAGCCAACAGCTTCATGGCTCTTCTGCTTTTCATAGCTCTGCAGCTGTATTCAACTCTGTTTTCCCCCTCTGACTCTGAAAGAGGAAAATGATAAAATGATCATCAGATACACTTCTGTAAACAGGGTGTTACCTGTGGCTGCTGGGCACATGATACTGTGAGATAGTAGTGTTGTTGTTTTTTTCCCTGGGGCTTGATGTGACCCTGTATATACAGCACAATACAGTGACTATGTGAAATAGTTCACTATTTCTTCTCACATAATGTTTTTCCCATTTGGTGTTAGCTTGTGGTGTGGATGTATTTTTGTTTGACTTACTCTCAGCAACTATTTATTGATTTCGGGAAGAAGGGCCATTGGCAAAGTAGCATTAATACATATTTTGATGTAAACAATGGCTCAAATGACTATGTGTAATGTGAAAGTGGTCACGCCTAGTGGCAAACTCACAACAGAATCTCACCCAACTCAGCAGTCCCCCTCAGCTCTATGGAGCGTTTTGGCTTATTTTGGCACATTGTTTTGTTTTTTAACTTTTGGGTGTAAGTTCACTCTCTCTGCTCTCATCAACAATATGTTTGGCTGTTTTTGGCTGATAGACCTGCCCAAAAAAAATAGCTGACACAGTTAGCAACTAACGAGTGAACAGATTGGAGCATTTGGCTGTTACTGAACCCATTTTACTCAGGAGTTGGTGAAGACCAAAAAAACAGAGCTATCATGCAAGTGAATTCTTGATTCATCTTGTTGCCAGAAACATGACTCTGAATCAAAAATAATGCTGCATAGTGATTGCTGGACCTGTAAATAGACAGCTGTTTAACGTATTACCCATAGCAACTTTATAAGGCCAATAATTTGCCAAATGTGTGTGTGTGTGATGTTTAGCTTATAAATAAAAAATTATCCAGCTTTAAGTTTTTGGTATTTTGGCAGTTGATTCATTATTTATGACAGATTTTCAATGATGAATGAGTGGAACTACCCAAATCTTTGTCCTGTGCATAAGATTGAAAGTGAAACACATTTTAGTTTTAGTGCCATTTCTATTTTATTTATGTTTATATCATCAGTAGAATTTGTTTTCGTGTTTACACTGTTTAACACATTTTTTCCTTTTTTCATTTCAGGTTACAGAAATTCTCATAATCTTCATCTGTTTGTAAAAAAAAAACACTAACTGACTACAATGATATATATATATATATATATATATATATATATATATCCATCTGATGATATAAACTAGTTTTGTTTTTATTCTTAAAACATCTTATGTTGAAATATGGAATTTTAAGAGGAAACAGAAAAGTAATGTCATCTACATTGTTTCAATCAATTTGTTTTCAAGTTTTGAAGCTAAACTAATTCATTGATGCTGAAAAGATTTGTATACAAGTTTCTGTCTGTTTTTTCTTAATATGTCAGGTTGAATCAACACCAAGTATCCTCACAATGAATGGCTTTTTGACCCCAGATACAAGTATCTGTTCACCAAGGATCATTTGTTAATGTATTTTCCTACGATAAGATGACAACTAAACTCATCTTTTTGATAACAAAGCACTTTCAGATTTGACTTGAGAAATATTACTCCCTTTTGATTGAAGGCATGTGTTTTGATCAGACGTTCGTGTCATAAATGTGGGGTAAAGACATGTCATCGTGCAAAGCCTCAAGGCCACATGACTGCAAGATATGAAATGATGTATTACAGTATGACTCAGCAAAATTCTTTGGAAAACTTCTTTGGACTTTTAACAACCCATAACACAGAATGGCCATACTATTGTACATAGTGTATACACTGCATTGGTTTAATAAGGTTAATAATTACAAATGTAGATACCGTAATACTTATGACGATATGATTTCTCATTTCAAAGTCCTTTTCCGGTTAGTTCTGCCCTTAAACTGTTCAGAGATGGAGGACAGTGCTAAAAAAGAATAGAAAACATGAAATCAGCAGAAACGTTAATGGCTCATGAAGAAATGTATTGTTTATTATAAAAGCGTCATGATTAGTGACCTTATCACCCTTACTGACACATGATGAATACATGCTGAGGGCTTGGGGATGTTCCAGCTTGTTATGATAAGTACTGATCTTGGCTTAGAGTCACATTGTCTACCCCTCCCACAGAGATGTCATACAAGAACTTAGGCACCATATAAAACCGAGATAATGCATTAACACTTTAAGGTTTTGGTGGAGAATGAACTTGTAAGTGCTCTCTGTACTGAAGGTTTCTCTGCCGTCAGATTTGTGTTGTTGAAATAAATATATATCTCAGTAAGGACAACCGAGCCTGATCGATGTTCATTGTTCACCAAATGGGAAGATTGGCCAGAAGTAAAAGTTTTATCAGTGTTGCTGCAATAGCTATTGCAACAGGGAGCGTAACTGATGAAAGATTTGTCACTTTCCTCCTTCCAAGTAAAAGAAAAAAACTGTTGTGATGACTAATGGGTTGATTGAGTGTAGGTGGAATGTAACTAAGTATTAACTCTTATGAAATTAACTAAGAATTTGTGCAAATCTTCTTTATTTAAAAATTTCATATGTAGTTACAGATCTTCTTACAGACTGAAAAACTAAATCTATATGTACAGATTTTAGACATTCAAACTTTTGAAAGTACAAAATGTTTTCACACAGCTACAATACATTTGTGACTATACTAATTCCATTGCTGTACAAGTACAAATGAGAGGTATTTGTACTTTACTTGAGTATTTTCTTTTCATGCCACTTTCTACTTTTTACTTCACTACATTTATCTGACAGATTTACTAGTTAGTTACCTTTCAAAGTGAGCTTTTTGCATGCAAACATTAGACTGGTTTTAGAATATTTGTAAGTAAAGCATCTGAATACCTCATCACGACATGTGTACTATTTACTTGAAAAGTAGCTCAGTAATCAAAGTATCTGCAGCTACTTGTTTCAGATTAACCTGGATATTTTCACTTGAAAAGTTTTTCTCAGACAATCGCATGTTTTAAATACTTTATCAAACTGTTCATGAAATGAGAAAGATGTCTGGCTTACTGAGTCACTACATTTTCCTGGTAAAGATGTGAGATGGACGAGGTTTTCCAAGCCTTCTATATGCATGAATTTAAATACGTTTTTCAGAAAACCTTTGTGATGAATTATATTTCACTAAAACCCAAGGTCCCTTAACACTAAATTTAAAAAGACCAAAACCCTCTTAAAAATATATCACTTTATTCATAGCCAATGAAATGGAAACACAAATCGAGGGTTTCTTGTATATTGGAGATGTGCCGGCTGGTAACAGAGCTCAGATCACAGTGGACATCCTGAGACGTCTTCCTGTGGGTACAAAGACTTTCTGCTGCTGCTGGCCACTGTGTTGTCTTCACTTCAGGTGCTTGACTGAAGCATGACGTCTGCCCAGTAATATCATCCTCCTGAGTTTTCAGACTGAGTAGAATGTGGTGGGTCGAGGAATATCTCATCAAACGTGAACATCACCATGTCACTCAGATGATCTGTAAAACATGGCAGTCACTGTTATTTAAAGGTCAGCCATGTAAAACTGCAAATACATTTAGTCTTGAATCAGGAGAAGCTTGTATTTAGCAGTGTGTGTGGTGATCGCTGTGAGAAATACATTATAAGTTGCTGATTTTTAGGATTTCACTGTAATTAACTTGTGAGAAATTAGCATTGGTCACAGGGTTTTTATTCCTAAGCAAAAGGTTGTCTGATTTACAATAAACATCTGCTGGCATGTAGGTGAGAGTTTTAACATAGACCAATCAAGAGACAACATCTGATGCCACATACTTTTGCATTTCCTTTCTTAGCTCAGGAAGAGATTTGAGTGTATGCGAATACTCTGCCATTTGTTTTCCTTCATCTACCATTTGTTGGCTGTTGTTTGCTTTGTACTTGATCTGTACTTAAGGAGAGGAAATACAAAAACACAAACGTTCGTTTTAAGGCTGTCCTTGCTGCAGCGGCCTGGGTCAAACTCTGGCCCATAGCCGTGTGTTTGCATAATGATAATTGCTGTAGTTTCGTTATTTGTTCAGTGAGTCTGAGTCAGTAGAACATGGGGGACAAATTGGGGGAAAAAAACAAATTCTTTGCCTGACACTCTTTCAGGTTCAGCTAAAATAATGGTAGAGAAATGGGGGAACAGTGTGGTTGTTGATGTCCCACTTTGGCATGATGTAACTGAAGGCATTTTTCCTATCCTAGGCACACTGAATACAGATTGTTTAGGGAGATGTAGAATTACGTTTACAGAGAAAGCAAAGAAAATAGGAAAGAAAAAGATTGATTGGCAAGCTTTTGAGAAATGGGAAAAAGAAGCACATTTGAGAGAACAAAAATCAGTGGCAGGGTTAATGGTAAAACAACAGATAAGGAATGCAGTTTTAAATAATGAGAAGAAAGAGACACACAAAAGGCCAGATCAGGTGTTGCCACCTCCATACGTTGTCTCCAAGCCACTAATCCTTTTGTCATTAGAGAAACATATGGCAAGTACTGCCCTTTTGACTGAGAAACCCCAGGAAAGAACTGACAGACGGGGGAGAGAACATGCATTGTGCCATGACCGGAGGACTGTTTCCCCATTTCACATACCAGTTGCTGGGAAAGGACAAAATGGGAAAAAGACTCAAATTAACTGTCCCAAGAAGTTTTTATTTCCATCAGCAGCCTCTTCCTGGCTCAGGAGAAACGGTGAAGGAAGAGACGCACACCTACTGCTGACAGTGACACCTCCAAATCCCCAGCCCAGACCGACAGGAGGGCAGGAACACGCCCACTGGGACTCAGAACTGTTTGCAGAAGAGTGTATGCAAATACTGCCATTTGTTTTCCTTCA